ATGAGATATAGGCCTACTGTGTCTATATATATATATATATATATATATTTATTTTTTATTTTTTATTTTTTCCCCTCAATTCCCCTTGCTGTCAAGTGCACATCGTTCCGTTATTTAGGGATTTTTCAGTAGAGTCGTGTTTAGGGAGGCTTGTTTGCCTTCATCTTTTGAAAATCAACATGCGCCAACAAGGTTGAAAGATGGAAATGATTTGCTTCTCCATTACTTCATGGCCAGACACTCCAAAGCGAGGAGAGAAAGGGATAGCTGAGGCTCTGTAACACATTTTCCCTGAAGAAGGAGAGAAAAAAGTGAAACTGTGGCTGAGTCTGGGGGATTTTTAGCTTGGAAAGTGCGTGTGCGTAAAGACGCACTTACTGGAGGGGTTACATTTGGGTTTCCAGATGTGCGAACTCAGCTGTTGCTTGTCACTCAGGTGGTCTCTCTTGCTTTCGTTCTCTGTCTACAGGAGTCTTTTCATGCAGCTCTTGAACTCTGTCAACATCAGTGTTTACAGACCTCAGCCCAAATCCTCAGAAACATTACAAAGTGAAGCCACATCACTTCAGCCACACAGAACAATTGAACAAGGAAGGCATTTTCTCATATTCAATCATACAAAACACTTAAATTAACTTTTTAAACAAACTCTGGAGTGTTAGCCTTAGTCTCTTCCAGTACAATGAAACTGTTTAAAGCTCATGCAAGTGTGATTCTTTTCAGTAATCTGCTTTGCTCTGAGCTTCTAACTGTTAATAATCAAATGTATTCAAGAGGATAAAGAAAAATGTGACACTGAGTCCTATAGTGACGCCTTAAGATGGACTTTTCATTGCTGTGTGATCTGTATTGAAGCCAGTGGTGGCACCTAGTGGTGGGAGAGATTTGTGAAGATGATGCAGGGAGAGTAGAAGGCTTTTGGATCAGCTCAGTCTGAGCCTCAAAACTTGGAGAAACATTGTAAAGTAAAAGTACTTCAGTCTGATCTGTAGCTTGAATTTGAAATGTTGGATATTTCTGTCCCTGGCGCAGCATTGTACAGTCATTATGAATGACAAACTGCTGTGTAGTTAGCTGATCCAGGATGAGAGCAGCCGAGGATCAGGTGACTGAGGTGTATTCCCCCTCTGTGGGAGGCCAGTCAGCTCGACTATGCTACACTTTGCTGGGGGTATAAACTCTGCAATGCTAAGCCTTTGTTAATGAGTATGTATTTGTGTGTGTGTGTGGCCAGTGCTCAATGGATCTGTATGTCTATTTACTTCAAATTGCGTGAACATGACATGTGTGAGTAGTGATGTGTGGTAAGCGAGAGAGTACGGTGTTTACTGGAAACCAGGAGTTAAGCTGCTGTTAATCTGTCAGACTCAAGTCAGGCAGTAGCTGAAATGATCGGTATGCTGGGCTCGACTACTGCCTGCTATGGGACATAACATTGATTCTATGCTTTTAATGGATGCTGAGGTTTTTTTTTGTCTCTACATCCCAAATAATTAATGCTATCGTCCACGCTAACTCGAGTACAGCAGTGGAATTAGTTTAAAGAAAATAGTTCAATATTTTGTCTGTACAGGTTATGTTCAACAGTTACAAATCTCACTAATTAGCACGATATATCTCGTTCATGTTATCTACACAAGTCTGGAGTCTTGTTGCCAGGCAGCAAGCAGAGATTCCAGGAAGTCACTACCCCCAGCCGAGAAATAGTCTGACACATAACCACCCATAAAACCAAGAATTGGCATTTTTACACTTTGTAAAAAACGAATAAGATATAAGTTGTTAGTAAATGAGCTTTAGAGGCGCTGGCAGGCAAATTTCAGTACCTTTGGCCAATTATATATTGTCAGTGATTTGGACAGGGCTAGGCTAGCTGTTTCCCCCTGTTTCCAGCTTTTGTGCTAAGCTAAGCTAGCTGCTGGTTGTAGATTCATATTTTGTGTACAGACAAAAAAGGGGTATCAATCATTTCAACTCCGCAAGAAGGAAAATAAGAGTGTGTCTATATTTCCTAAATGTAAATTCAGGAGAGGCGTTAATGTCCTTTTTTTTTGCTAGCAGGGTAAAAAGGTACATTTTGTTGAAAAATGTCAAAACGAGGAGAGGAGGATGATGTTCTAGCTGAGGAGGATGTGAATCAGAGGGGAGGATGCGAAGCACATCTTGAGGAGATAGCCTTTGAAGTTCCAAAGAAAGACAGAGGATGACTGGACATGTAACGTCATACAATTATGAGCCTACATTTGGCAAGAGAAGTGGACAGATTATGAACGCATCCTTGACTTTTCGTTGCATTGCTCTTTTAAGGGCCCCTGCTGACTTTTTGTTTATGGAGAATTTCTAAATTGACAGACTAATTTTTCAGAGCAGTGTCTCGATTAAACACTCTTCATCTTCTCATATGCAACCCAGATTCTCATTCTCCTGTGGGGTTTGAGTGCCAGAGAGGAAATCCAGCCTGGAGATTGTTTTGATATTGTTGGACACTCTCCTGGAAAACCTTTTTGCTCAGCGACCAAGGGTTCTGGATTTAGAGCCATTGGCTCCTCGGTTAAAACACCTCATCTGATCACAGCAGTAAAAATGTTTGAAGAGCTCAGAATGGGCCTTGTTTCACCTTTTTCGTTTGAAGCTTAACGTAACTTAAATCGTTGTTTTTTTGTCTACCTCATTAATGAATATATAGTGTTTTAGAGCAGTTTCTCACATTTACGGTGCATAATATTATAAACACAAACTAATAGTGTATACATTATGGATGGTTTGCTGCTGGCGGACTGGTTCAGGGGAGTTGTGCAGCATCCATAGATTTCTTGTGTCCCAGTGTTTGAGTTGGAGCACTGACTGGCATTAGATTAAATAAATGTACCAACCAATAAGGAACATAAACATGAATGAGAAGTGTGTATGTGTTTGCATGTGCGTGTGTGTGTGAAAAAGAGAGACCTCCATCTATTAGTAAGTCAACACTGTTCTGTCTGTGCGCCTCTGTCAGCCTAATACCTCAGACCAACATGTGTACACACAGGCAAGTTTGTGCTGTCACACTGGAATTAATCGAGTGTGGGGTTGTGTAAATCATTCCAAACCTCAGAAAACACACCCTCACATACACACAGACACACACACACATGCTTGCCAAGCAGCAATCCCCTATAGTTGTCTGTGAAGGGCCAATCACTGAAGGGGAGAAACAGAACAGTGAACAATGAAAAACAGACATTTCTTGGAAAAACAGACACACACACAAATGTCCTAAAGCAATATTCAGAATTTTACATGGGAACCACCCAGTTATACCAGTTATCAGCAGTAATAGTAATATCACTAGTGCAGTGGGAGATTACAAACTGCAACCAGTGCTGGGACCAACCTTGACCAAGCAAGAATGTCAAGCATTCCCTGGTCACAGCTTCTCAAATGTGAAGAATTGCTGCTTTTCTCTAATGGTATATTACATTTTGAAGGCTTTGGGTTGTAGTTTGGACAAAACAAGCAAATTAAAGATGTCAGCCAGGGCTCTGAGCAATTGTGATGATACTTAACATTTTAGAGACTAAACGATTAGTCAAGAGATCAGTTGAAAATGGAACCCAACATTCAAATAGTTGTTGCCTTTTCAGCAGCATGTGATGGGAATGTCTGTTCAGGTTCAGTCTTTTCCAGGTTGTTCATGTTTGAAGGAAGTATTGCACTATAAATAGTGAAAGAGAAGCTAATATTGTGTATTCATATTGGCCTACTGTAGCCATAAACCATGGTTATGCTGAGGAGGTGAAGTGTGCGGTGTGTAAATGTGTGTGTTGGGGCTGGGACGGCAGTCCTTGATCTACGAACACTAATCGTGATCCTTGTGCACACTGAGTGGTTACAGACCAAACCCTGCAGGCCGCATTGGCTTCACAAGCCTGGTATTATGGTCAGCTTGTGGGGAGGGAAAGTAATCCAGAGCTTAGAAGAATATCAGACACTGAGTAATGGACTCTGAGAGGGAGTTCCACTCAATTCTGTGTTAAAACTTGCAGCAGGCCTGAAATAAAGTTGCCTGCAGCACTTGCTAAGCGATGCAAAACTGAGGTGTTGTTGAGAGTTCCTGACTCGTGCCTCCGAGTGAGAGTCGATTTGGCACCACCTTAATTACCTATACACACAGCTCTATTTGATGATGATTAAAGCCACTCACACACACAGATACACACACCTGCCCAGACATTGCCAGTCGCCAGCCGCAGTGGTTATGGAGACATTAAAGGTGATGATTATTAGATGATAATAATTAAAAGGCTTTAAAGCTCAGGTAAAGGTAAACAGTATAGATAGAAGCACAGTCTCATATAGGAAGACAAGATTGCAACAACCACGTAATTATTCCCAGTCAAATGACCACCCTGAGGCAGAACACAAATGATAGCTTTCAGTTTTGTTTTTGATTGGGAAAAACATAAAAGGTCTCCATAACAGATTCTGGTTTGTTGGGTGCTACATCACTCATACAATACTGCTGTTGTGATGTGAGAACCTCCTAGATTCCAATTTTGTTGATCATGTTTCCACAGTTTGATGTTTGGTGGTTTCATGTTTTCAGTTCAGATGAAGGACCACCCTAATCCAGTGGATAATGTCATAAATGCATTGTGCAGAACCAAAAACAACCCCGCTGTTAGTGAAAAAGCTGACATTTTGGAGATACATGGTTTACATGCAGTCATGTTGTGAGTCTAGCAAGTGTGATTAAAACATGGTCTTGTTCCATCAAAACTTGCAACAGTTTGCATCATGCAAAGAATATATTTTGAAAAATGTCCAGTGACACCTACTCTGTTTGGCATGAAAATAAAGTATATTATTCATAATAGATTCAGAAAGCCTTTATGCA